GATTACATGAGGTTTTGAAAGGCACGATATAGATAAGTTCTTTCTTCTGCAAATTGTGTCTGCCTGCCTAAATTATTATTTTTAAAGCATAAATCAAGTTTGCCATTCATGCAACACATTTAAATGGGTAGAGAAAGGTAATGAAATGTAAAAACGTGCCTGTGGATTTAAAATTAAAATAAACACTTCATGAAAGTACAGTTGATAACACAAGAACATAGACCAAAGTGCACACAGCCACTAGATGGTGCAACTGCTATTTTAAAAATCACTATGCAAGCAGTCGCTTATTATGGGCGCTGGTACCTAACTGCATATTGAAATACAACAAGTACAACTGAGCCTAAATCTCATCATATTGGTTCATTAGTTTCAATTATCTCAATGATTATTTACCATACATCATTGTAACATACAGCAACTAAAGATGATTGAACAAGATAATAAATAACAACCTCCTCATAAGATATAACCACTTTCTATGATGCCATTTAACTTTTGGAGGATTCAATTCAACTATTGCTATTGATAACATCCTACAATTTCACCCATCTTCAATATTCTCCTTCTAATGGAGCGCTTCTTCTGGCTTGATATCTGCACTTGATCCCTTTGAGTACTGTTGACATGACCTTGATTTCTCTGCTCGCTTCATCCACTATAACCTGTCTCCCCTCTGAACTTGAAGGGGTGGCGATGGCCGAGTGGTATTATCACTGGACTGTTAATCCAGAGACCCAGATACTTTTTCGGGGACCCAGGTTCAAATCCCACCACGGCAGTTGGTGGAATTTGAATCCAATAAAAAAAAAAATCTGGAATTAAGAATCTAATAATGGCCATGAACCCATTGTCAATTGACAGAAAAACCCCATCTGGTGCACTAATGTCCCTTAGGGAAGGAAACTGCCATCCTTACCTGGTCTGGCCTACATGTGACTTCAGACCCACAGCAACGTGGTTGACACTCAACTGCCCTCTGGGCAACTGGGACGGATAATAAACGCTGCCTAAAAGCGACGCCCTCATCCTGTGAATGAATTAAAAAAAAAGTGTTCTCTCGGGTCTAACTCTGACCCTGTTATCAAAACTGCTGATAAGGTTGGTATTGTTGTCTAGTGCACTGAGCTACCTTTCTGTGACTGAGCATTAACTCAGACACTTACTCCTATCTCCCATTCAGGCAGGTTTACACCTTTTCCCTTAGGGACTTGAATTACAGCTGGAGACAAATGCCTTCTGCTTTTCTGCTGGATTGCAACTCAAATATACTCCCTTACTACCCAGAGTTAGTAAGAACTGCCGATGCTGGAGTCAGATAACAGTGTAGAGCTGGAGGAACACAGCAGGCCAGGCAGAAGAGCAGGAAAGTTGACGTATCGGGTTGGGACCCTTCTTCAGAAATGGGGGAGGAGGAAGGGAGCTCTGAAATAAATAGAGAGGAGGGGTGAGGCTGGGGAAGGTAGGTGGGATGGTGATAGGTGAGTGCAGGTAGACAGTGGTGGGGATTGGTCAGTGAGGTGGGAGGAGCGGATAGGTGGGAGAGAAGACAGACAGGTTGTGTCAGGTCAAGGAGGCAGGGATGAGAGGGAGGGTTGGTCATGGGATGAGGCCGGGGGTGGGGTGATTTTGAAACTGGTAAAGTCCACAGAGACCATTCGGTTCTAGGCTCCTAAGGTAGAATTGAGGTGCTGCTCCTCCAGTTTGCGGGTAGCATCCTTGTGATGCTGGATAAGGCCCAGGATACACATGTCGCCCAGGGAGTGGAAGGGGGGAGTTGACGTGTTACTGATGTCTGGCATGGTATTTTCACTATCAAATTTATTATTTTGTGAGATGACTGGTTGATGATACGCAGTTCAGATATGTCACCTATTTCTTCACGAGATTTGACCATTACACATCACATAGGACTACACTGCTGTTTCCAGCCTAAGCATCTTTCCAAGAATCCATGTACTCAAGCAAAAATCTCACTCATTTTGTCTTGGTTCAAGTTGGGACAACTGTCTGAATGCCTACCAGTCTGTCATTCTGACGGTATTCTTGGACTGTGGCAACTTTACTACTGATCATATTCCTGCATCCTTCTCCCCCTTATTTTTGACAATGCACCATACATATGGTTGGATGGTGACAGTATGGGAGGGAAGGAGTGTATGTGGATCAGTCTCCTAAACATGAGGCCTACCTAGAGGAGTAACACAGATTTAGCACGGCTACCAAAAAATCTTGGCAAATCACTCTACATTTAAATAATCATGGGTTTTACAGTTTAAACATTGCTTTCTATGAAACCATTTCACTGACTGAGAAGAATTGATGAGCCGAACACCCATTTCTTGCACGTCCTAGAGAACTGCACTAGTACATTCGTGACCACTGTCAGACAAGATTTGTTGAGGTATGGCAGAAGTACTAAATTTTTTGGCTAAGGTGTGAAAAACCATTGCACTACAGATATTTTTGCACAAAAGGAAATTTGGTGAAATTTCAGTCACCAGAACATAACTGCATCAGTGGGCATGGAAATCCATTGCAATCTTACCCCTCGGCTCAGAAGGATTTGGGTGGAAGTAAAGGTTCTCTTGATTGAGTGTGTGTGTTGGGAGTCAGAACCATTATAAGTAGCTAACTTATCTTGTGCGAACTACACTGCATTTTGCCAGTTTCCTGAATACATCTTGTGTACCGTCAGCAGTGACTATCTCGGCATTTAGTGCACGTTCTCCATTCCTTTTGGAAAATATCATTCGGATAAAGGTAGAAACTTCAGCTTTACTGATACACTCTGACTGGGGCCTGCAGGTTGTTACATTGTGGTTACTTCTTACACTTTGTTGATGTGCATGCATATCATGTAGGGAATGCAGCAACCTCCTTTAACACTGTTCCACAGTTGGTTTCTCTTCACACGTTGCTGCAAATAATTGTGTTGTACATGGATTTATCTGAGCAATTGGACTTCCTACCCAATTTAACCCAATGTCCTTTTATGGAATCATAGTTTGCAACTCTCCAGGTGGGCAAGACAACCCCCACTTCATACAAGATTTGGATGTCTCACTGAACCTATTGATGGCTACAAAAGTTGTTCCAGAATCAAGCACTTACAGATATTACTGACCTGCTAAAATTGCTGAGATTGCATCCTCCTTGTACAGTGTTAATAGTTCTTTCTTTGGCCTGTCTAGCAGTGGTTTTCTAAAGGATTTGATGGGTCTAGAAGCAAAGACCAGTTCCACAAGCCTAAGTTGGGTCAATGAAGTCTCATTCCATATCTTTGAATCAACACCTGGTGATGAACTGATCAATCATTTCACTTGCTTCAAAACTTCAAAGTAATCTTCCAAAACTTATCAGGACCTTGGTGGTCATTAGCAGAAATACCAAAAGGATCTTCTGCTCTCAACCCTTCAGTACCCAGTGGGATTGTCCGTTCTTTCAAGTCTGGCAGTTAGACACACCAATTGTTTTGCTATTCTCATATTCCAATTACTTAATCTGAAATATCAATTTCCTTTCTCCCCCCACCCCCACAACTATAGCATAAATGCTGCCCCCTCCACAATTCATGTCAGCTCTAATGAAGGGTCATCTAGACTCGAAAAGTTAGCTTACTCTCTCCATGGATGCTGCCTGACCTGCTATCTCTAGTATTTGTTGCTTTCAGTCAAGAAAAGGTTTAATTGTTCTTTATCAGTTATTTGCTGATCCATGGTTAGATGTTTGCCTTCTATTTTTACTTGCAGCAATATGCTCTCTGAAAACATCAGTGTAAAGATCTGTATTGCAGTAGTGTTTTTCTTTGTGCTTTTATTTGCAGTATCTGCTGCCCTTTTAAAAATTACAGGTTTTGCCTGGAGATGGTGTTTGTGCATAAAGAGGAGTTGTGACATCACTTGTGCTTTTTTTTGCCATTAGCATCCACTTACTGCCACGAACCAGCTGTCACAATTAACTTTTAGTGGTTATGTATGAGCACTACAATTTAGTTTATGGATTTCTATGCTCGCTCATACACCAGAGCTGGGGTCTTGAGACATATCTTGAAGTTTGTTAACAAAGCCAACAATCAGGCTGCAATATACAGATTTACACACAGTGAGAATTCTATGCATATTAATATTACTGTACATTACACAAACACAGCTGACTAACTGAAGATGTCACTACACAATCCATTGCACAAAATGACTGAAGGAGGAGCAGGGTACTTTCATGCTTGAAAGTCACACTGTGATGTCATAACTATGTTAAAGGAACAGCCCTGTCTCATCTGGAAGCTGTGCTATCTTACAGCAGATGAACCCAAATAAGTCTCAGAAGGAGTACTTATCTGGGACAAGTCAAGATTTATTAAATTTTTGTAAGTATATACATGTCGCATTATTCTGATGGTAACATGGAGAAGATAAGGACTGTCTCCAACTACAATTGCCCAGAGCTACCCAAGACAGCCCAAAAACATTCCCTCGATACTTCGGTTATACATCAGAATGGGAAAAGTTGCAGCACAGCTCCACTCTTCCATATCTGTCACCTTGAACAACAGCAGATACCAGCACTATTATGGTCATCACTAAAGTCAAAAATCTAGGACATCTGAGCTGAGAGAAAGAGTGATGTGATCACAAATGTAGCTAATTATTACAAAGAAGTACTGAGTGGTTAAGAATGGAAATGAAAGCATGCTGGATTAATTAAATACTCATTCCAAATATGACACAAAGTCAATAGCATGCAATTACTGAAGTTGACGATATCTTGCTTGCAATATAATTTGAAAAGAATAGAAATATTAAAGGTTCTACAGCTGACAATGAAGTAAAAAGTGAAACACTGCATTGCATATTACAGCTTCTAACTAAGGATAACTTCAATTGCACAAAATCAAAAAAATTGGAAACTAAAATATAGGACAAAGTTTAGGAATTTTATTTGAACATTAATTATAGAAGTGTTCATGGAAATGAGTTTCTAATTTACTCATATCATACCTCTCCAACTTTAGCACACTCCTCAGTTCGTTTATGCAGAGCTGCCCATGTATTCTCATATCTGCAAAAAAAATATACAGAACAATGAGATTTCTCTGAATATACAAGTAATCATCTAAAAGATAAAAGAACAACTTGAATGTATAAAATTTTTAAGCGATGCTGAAAGGAGTGCTCAAACCTGTTAAATCTTTACTTGGATTAAAAATAAAAACGAAGAGAGCACATTTTATATTAAAAATCTTTTAATATGCTGTATAGTACTTTCAAAAGATTCTTGAAAAGTCATTGCTTTCAATTTTAAAATTAAAGCCATTAAAAGGAGAGAAAGAGGGAGAAGGTTTAACCAAAAAAGTGTCAACCTTCAATGCAACTTCAGTAAAGATAAAAATTCTATGGCTGTTGTTTAGTTCAACAAGCAGATAATATTTTACCCGAGTGTGAAACTTGTCCTAAATATTTTATAACCAGCTGAGCAAAATATTTTTGCTTCCATCTCTGCAATTCTTTGAAGTGTTAATGCACTCAGGAACAGTTACCTATTTTCCAAGTTCAGAACTAGATGTCAAATTCACCTTTTAGTATTGAAGTCATACTGAAGTCAGTTGCTGAATATCATAATTACATCAATCCTATACAGTATAATTCATAAATGTTAACTAAGTCACATGTATTTCACAATGTGCCTTGTTAAAACATTTAAAACTAGATTGTCCATTTATAATAGTAAAGGCTTATGTTAGAACTTACAGAACTATGGAATAAGCACATTAGCTGGACCCAAAATATTCTGGCCCAGCTTTAGGATTGAAAATCAGCACACCCACGGTAGACAGCAAGAGAAGCACATCCCAAGATTGTCTGATATCAAATGCAGTGAATGCTGAGGCATTAGCCACTGTTGCGTAGCAAGACCCTCCAGATGTCTTTGAGCAGTTTAAACTTCTGAAGGGAGAATTTTCACTACCTGGGGCCTTCTAAAAATCTCTCCATGTTGACCAACATCAAACTTGAACCAGCTACACAATATTAATCTGGATGCTTACTCTGGTACTTTCCCAAACTTTCTGAAGACATCTGAAAAGGTGCTACAGAAAAAGGTTATTGATCAGAGCAAGAACAGAGTGTTGGGATAATGTATCAGCATGAATAACAGATTGGCTGGGAGGCAGAAAACAGACCACGTGTAAGGCAGGATATGACGAGTAAAGCATGTAGGGATCTATAGTGGAGCCTCAGCTTCTTACAATTCATATCAATGCCTTGGAACAGGGAGAAAAGACAAGATAGATAAATTTGTAGATGATGCAAAGATAGCTAGAAAAGTATGCTTTGAAAAGGATGTGAGGTTACAGACAGAAATATACTGACTGAATGAGAAAATCTGGTACATTGATTATAATGTGGGAAAATGAGAAGTTGCTCAATTTGGCTTCAAGAATAACAAAAAGAGTATTACTTTAATGGAGAATAATTACAGTTTGAGGTGCAGAGATCTAAATGTTATACTGCAGGAGTCATCAAAATTTGTTATGCAAGCGAAGCACATAAAGCAAATGGGATGTTATCTTTTATTACAAGAGGAAGTGAACACAAAAGGCTTTGCTTCAGTTCTGTAAGGCATCGATGAGACCACATCTGCAGTACACTTCTGATCACCTTATTCAAGGATGCAAACATATTGTAGCAGTTCAGAGAAGGTTTATTAGTTTGATACCTGGAAAGTCTGAGCAGACTTGGTTTCCAATGGAGTTTAGTGTAGTAGTGGGCAACTTGCTTTAAGTATGCAAGATTCTTGATAAAAAGGATGTTGAAAGTACATTTCCTCTTGTGGGTGAGTCCAGAACAAACAAATCTGTGGCTCTGCCACAGCAACAGCAACTCAAACATGCTATTTTACAAAGATGGATACATTATATGACTTAAAAGCCCATGCATCAGTGTTGTAGTGTCTCAATGTCCAAAAGCATCTACATGAAACATTAAAAAAAAAGGATGCCTAATATAGTTGCCAGGGTTAAGTGTTGCGGTCTATGGATGAGAAAGTTGGATTCTACAATGAGAGGATGAGAGGAGTATAATAACTTTTGAAATGCAGGTATTGTAGGTGGTAAGAATCAGATGGGTGGGAAGATAAATTACTGAGCTAGATAAAGAGTAAAGTTCTGAAATCAAAACTACAATTAAAAAAAATAGAAAAAATAGTTGACTGTAGACAGTCACAACAGTCATGCCCTGGCAACATTTGAAGATAGAGGAAGGAAAATGGGTAGGATGGATAACAGATGCAGACTGAAGGAGGCTTGAAGCCAGAAAAGCAGCAAGACAATGCCAACAACCCCACTAAAATACGAAGAAAACATATGAACAAACGCACGCTGATTCTGCTAAAGTGGGCAAATTGTAGATCATTTAACACTACAAAGTAACATTGCAAATGCCATGTTTTTTTCATATCATGCCATATCTTCCACGGTCTTCAACACGGTCAATCAGAAAATGTATTTTTTTTTTAAAAAAGAAGAGGTATTGGGCTGAAATGTGCTTCAGTACCAAACAAAATGATTTAGTTGTTCACTGCACTTGCACATAGGTGCTGAGATTTCCCACTGGAACTTGTTATAATTAGAAAACCATTCTGACATAGCATCGTAGAGGAAATCTGGAACCTGTGTGTCATCTTATCCCAAGAAGTTGAAGAATCATTAACTAGCCATGTCAAGTCTGAACAAGTGTCAGTTGGACACTTCAATTTACAGCACAACAGGTTTCCTTCAGCCCATTATGAATGCACCAGCCCTCCAGAAGTGCAACTCGCCTCGTTCCCTACCCAACTTTTTCACATGCACATTCTTTCTCTTCAATGGTCTAATTCCCCTCTGCCTAGTTCAATTGAACTTGCTTCCACCAAAGAGCCAGTACATTCCACACCTTAACCACTTGCTACATTGCAAAAGATTTTCCTAGTTTTCTTCTTTCTTTCGTTAATCACTTTAAATTTGAGCGCACTCAATCTCTAACCTTTTAATGACTGGGAGCAAGTTCTCCTGACCTACTCTGTCCAGATCCCTCATGATTTTGAATACCTCTATCACATCTGCACTCATTCTTCTCTCTTCCAAAACAGTCCTAGCTTCTCCAATTAAACTGCCTAAAGTTCCCTAATCTTTGAATCATTCTCATGAATCTTTCTGCACTATTTCAATGTCTTCAAATCTTTCCTTAAGTGCAACATCCAGAACCAGGCATAAAACACCAGCTGTGGCCAAACTAACATCTTATACCAGTTCAACATAACCTCCTTGCTTCTTACGCTATCCCCATTAATAATGCCTAGCATACTGCATGCTTTATTATCCATGCTCACAACACATCCTGCACATTCAATGACTTACGCAAATATACAGATCTTTGTTCCTAAGCTCTGCGGCATTGTAAACTTCACAACTTTAAATAACTTCATAGATTTAAATAAGCAGCAAATGACTGTCTGGAATAAACCAGTAAGGGACAAAGACAAGCTGTTCAGAGACTGAAAGCAATTATCCATTACATAAACAAAACTGCTTTGACACCTGCTTGGTAAACTGGATGCCCCAAGGGCAACTGAGTGCCGTGCAGAAGAATTTAAGGGGTTAACTACCGGAAAGCAGTGTCTCCAAACAGACAGTTAGGGCCAATTGGAACAAGGAACAAAAGCAGCTACTTCTGATAAAAAGGTGGCAAGCTACAGACTTGAAGTACCGAAAATATCATCAGTATTGGAGAGGAAAGAATCTGTTGAATCATCAATAATGTCACACCACAACTTAGAAGAAAACTGTATAAGAATCCAATACCAGGACAATGGCAGTATTTCAAAGGACAACAAGCCAAACCCTGGGCACTTCCAGAAACAGACACTGTTGGTAGAATCCTGGCCAGATTCCATCTAAATCAGATAATAGCTAAGTTAGATTGAGAGGTTTAACTTGCTTACTTGAGGGTTCTATTTTGGTTGCTACATGCAACAAAGTTTAAAATCATTGTTTCAGTAGTTGATGTAGTCACTTCATCTGACGAAGGAGCAGCAGTCAAAGCCCGTGATTTCAAATAAACCTGTTGGACTATAACCTGGTGTTGTGTGACTTCTGACTTTTTAAAACTAAGCAGTCTGGAATAAAGAGTTATTTTCTGGTAATGATAAAACATGTGCAAATTGGTTTTGTCCTGCATAGCAGCCAGGAAGGCAAACTGACCATCTTGGTGGTCTAACTAGTATTTTGTACATGTTGTGACACTTGTGGGATATGATTATTGGCACACCATTCCTAGTTAAGTCATGATATCATATTCTTCCTTTCAAAATAAAACACTTTACATTTTTTTGCATAATTATCTGCCATTTGTCTGTTCATTCCAACAACTTGTTTGTCCTTTTGAAGTTCTACATTTTCCTGCTTATTAGTTCACAATGCTTCCACATTTTGATTCATCTGCAAATTTTGACTATTTCCTATTCATGCATGGGATGTGGACTTCACTGGCCAGGTCAGCATTTATTGCCCATCCTTCATTATCCTTGAGAAAAGTACGCTTTCGACACCAAGGTCTACGCTATTAATATACATTGGAAAGAGTCATATTCCTAACAGTGAGCCATCTACAAAAATTCTCTTATCTGAGAAAGATCTATTAACCCCCAACTATTTCCTGACAATCAGCCAACTTCATATCCATGTTCCTACAATCTCTTATTTTACACGCTGTAAATTTTTTTTTTTTTTTTTAAACTGATCTGTAATATGGCATTGTATCAAATGCCTTTGGAAATCTATGTACACCAGTGATAATTTTTTGACAGATGTTGGAGGGAGAGAAAGGAAGTGCTAGTAATTGCTAAGATCTACACCTCATTGAGCATATCTTGATCAAGACCAGCAACCAGAATGCTGCCTCAATGTAGTGCAAGCAACATTGGGAATCAGTATATTAAATGAAATGGTTCTGTTGACACTTCCGTTTCATACTCAAAAGTATTCAGCAGAAACATCAAATCAATTAATACCTCTTAAGTATACA